TGGAGAGGCACAGCAAACAATGATCAAGGCCCTCGTTTAGCCATCACTCTTGTCTTCCCTCTCAAGTTTTGCATCTTAGATCTAGAACTCAAATCCAGTTTGTTTTAAGTACTGGCTTTGGGATGACATGGATACTGAATTATACAGGGCAATCTATTTATAGATATCCTCTCCGATGTTTTGTTTCTGGTTGTACACTATGTCCGACGTTCCACTTCACTTGTAGTGAAACATCGTATGAAACAATTGTCAGTATTTTTAGACAGTTGTGTAATTCATGCAAACTCTATCTCAAATGCTGCACAATCTGCAACTCACGGAGGTGCGTATATATTCAAATGTGTTCAACCAATTAAGGAGTGTTTATACACGTGAGAGGAAACCAGAGCACCCTGAGAAAACCCACAGATGGAACAGATGGCGGTTGGTCCCATGATTTGCTGTACCGCATTCTCCTGGCAAGCCAGGGTATGGCACCTCAACGTCACAGGAAGGGAGTTTCGCAACATCCTGTGTGCGATAAAAAGGCATAGCACATGAAGAAGGCAGTAGTATTTTCTTTGATTGCATTAAAAATAAATTTAACATATATTAAAAGTATAATATATAATAGGCAAATGTTGAGGCAATGTCCCTGATTCACATGCTATAAAAAAGGGGCATTGCCGGAAATTTCGCCTATTTTATACTATTTTTATTCTTAAGGCTACACGCACAATGACGAATCTGTTGAGTTTATGTTGTTGCTATTTGCACTTATGCCAACGCAGCAGAGGCATTGCTAAAATAATTCGTACAATAGGACATGTATCTTGAGCAGGATTCTTATTCTTACATCACGTGCACTCCGTGTGGTCTCCTCGAGCACGCAAAGCCTCGGGCATTGTGGGTGGACTCACACTTATCCTGGCGAGGCCACGACCTGACAACTCACCCACACCATCGTCACAATGCCGATGTTGCGTCGAGCGAGTCATTGTTGGGGCAAATTAATTCGTGATGCTGCTGCTGTTGCTGCTGCGTTGGCAGTGGTGTACAAATAGCGACAACAACAAACTCAACACATTCGTAAATAACACCGTGGCTTTAAAAAAAAAGTTTATAAAAGGAAAGTTTTGGCCAATGTCCTTTCCCCACAGCACTCAAAGGTAGAATCTGCCTTGTGTCCCTCTCTTAATGCAGTAGAATGATTCTCACTGCCTGGGTACTCCACCACACAAAGCATGCCAATGGTAGGGCAAGTCTACAGAAAGTATATTCAAGGAACGGAATTGACTCTTGAGAATGTGCAGGTTTTCGTGGTTGTCCTGTACTATAGATCTCTGATGTGTGTTCGGATTGTACCGCGTGTTTGGTGTGATGTATAGCACGTGGCATCACCCGAGAACGCATCGAAGGGCTCTGAATGAACTCCTAAGTACAGCAAATTGCTTAGATTCAAGCATGTAGTTCCATACACGTGCTAACATTAACCTTCTAGATTCACAGCATGTTTGCAGGTACATCTCCCTGTTATGGATATAAATATTAACTGAGTTTGGCTTTAAGGGAATAAATAAATACTAAGAAATATCGAGTGGTAAGTGACTACTTTTTTATTTTAATGCTACAAGTCTTTAACGAAACTTGCACAGCATGTTTACGTGTCTTCTATTCCGAGTACTGCATATTTAGCACGTAACACAAGATAATGCGCATTACTCATATCGTGTCCTCTTCATATTATCCGCAGAAGGGAGATTGCTAGTGTCCGGATTATTATCAGATGCACTTTCCACCCCTGTAGTTGAAAGCAAACGCTGGCGGTGGGGGGGGGGTCTTCTAATCCGATAGCTGTGTGTGTGTGAACACTTTTGTTCAACTTTATTGAACCTGGGTAAAAGTTAAGCGTGCGTCTTATTTTTCGGTGAGTCTCATAATCCGAAGAATATGGCATGTGGTTTGCTGTCCAGCATGTTATCTTGTAATGTAGATTATATAAACAGTATCTTGCAGTACTTAATGCCAGGGAACCGTATCGTCACGCGAATTACGAAACGTACATGGTCAACTGTAAAATCAGTTCCAACAAGTATAACCCGTAAAAACAAAGTTTTTCACTATAAATCTTTTATATGCGTGGCGGCTAGAGTCCTCTCGTCCTCTGGCTTGAGATGGCTGCCACCTATGGGTCAGATGATTGCATGGCAGCATTAAGCATTTGGTAATTAAATATAATATTTTTGTCCTAAAAAGTGTAAAATTTTGGAAAAAAAATTTCACGAACATTAATTGTCACGCACAACGAGTCTGTGTGCAAAATGTCAGCTCGATTGGATCACGGGAAGTGGGTTAAAAAACGACCGAAAGATTTGCACGGTCGTAAGCAAGCAAGCAAGTGAACTTAATATAAAGGATTTAAAAATGAGGACCATACTGCCATCACCTGCGCTTCCAAAGTAACGTGGTGGAAGCACACAACGTAAATGGAGAACACGTGGTTGCCAAGGGGAATTTCTGATTCTGACACGAAATTAGAAACACTCTCGAGAGGTTTTATGGAGCACCACGACTGAAAAGTGTTTTCACCTCGTGACTTTCACACATTGTACCTGAATATTTATTACAAAGCCGCCGTTAAACCTGCCCACTGGTAAATGTAAATTGCCAACCAACCACCGACGTGTATTGTGGATCAGGTGACTATTTGCACACTTAGATGCAGCTTGCTTTAATCTGCGAGGGCTTTCCGGCTGCTTAGTGACTGATGCGATAACGATCTGTCATCTCTGCCAGTCCCATGAGAAACCGCTCACTCTGGAAGATAAAGGAGTTAAAGCAGATCCCTCTCCTTAAAGCTAAATCAGGAGGTACATTCATTCTATGACAAGCGAGTGTCTTGAATAATACATGAAGCTATCCTTCACAAGTTGAAGTATTTTGAAGAGGGTATTTTGGTAGGTATATACCGCTATATTCTTTGAACTATTACACACTGTTGGGCTTTCTATGGGAACGTCGTGATTTTTCCAGCATGCCAGTTTGCCATTATTTCCATCACGAGCTTGATGAAGATGCATCTAATGTGTATTGCACAGTATTACTTTCCATAGTCTAAGCTATTTGCATGAACTCTGCTGTATTTTCCCTGGAAATACCACTAAGGACATGGTTCAAATAGTATTCTTAATTTCAGGAACCTTCAAAAAAATACATGTTCGTAGCAATGTGTGTGCAATGTTAAAGACTAGTTTACCAAGAACGATTCTTAGCTTACATATGTCGTAATGACATTACAGCATAGCAAATATAGTGCATGCTTTTATCAGCTATTCAATAAGATTTAAAACGAATATGCAATTTACATCCCTTTGTCAATCCACTACAAGATGAAGGCCTCCCTATAGTTGTTAGAAATGGGGGTTGTTTTACCATACTTCACCACATTGGGTCAGTGCGGGTTGGTAAATGGGGAGGCCCAGTACTGGTTAATATTTTACTTTTCACTGATGTTAGCCATGGCCAGAAATGGTACTCATGTAAGTCAGATTAATAATAAAGTGTGGTAACCACTCCACCCCACTATAGGGAAAGCATTTTTAAATCATTTATATTAAGTTCACTTGCTTGCGTGCTTGCTTGCTTACGACCGTGCAAACCTTTCGGTCGTTTTTTAACCCACTTCCCGTGATCCAATCGAGCTGACATTTTGCACACAGACTCGTTGTGCGAGACAATTAATGTTCGTGAAAAAAAATTCCAAAATTTTACACTGTTTAGGGAAAACAAATTAAATATTTAATTACCAATTGTTTAATACTGCAGACAATCATCTGACCCATAGGTGGCAGCCATCTCAAGCCATAGGACGAGAGGACTCTAGCCGCCACGCATATAAAGGATTTAGAGTGAAAAACTTTGTTTTTACGGGTTATACTTATTAATGTTTACATTTTATCTGGTTACACAAATACAACTGATAAAACCCATGATTATTTAGACAATTGTTTAAGAGAATTTTTTAATAAAAACATCTCTTTTTTAGAATCCGATGCTTTCAACCTGAAGAAGAATCCAGACTCTTTTAGAACACATTTAATTTTCTTTTATTACCACATTGATGCATTGAAAATTGCAGTGTTCCTGATATACAATATGTTTCCCTGCATAAAAAGCAGTTTTCTGTGAATAAATTAGTACAAGTAGTACAAAAATAAACCAGTTTCTTTAAAGTAAATGTCAATGCATAAATAAGCGGTTAGATTTCACCACCCTTGCTTTTCCAGTCCTAGATGTTCTGTATTCGGCAAAAAATACAATCTATAATTAACATACTATATCATGCTATAGTCATATACATTAGAAAAAAACAAACTTTAAAAGAAATATTGACAGCCTATGGTTAATACAAATACAAGGGCTCGGAAAAACGCGTGACCTTTTTGACATGTCCAGGTCACAACAGCTTCGAAAGGAGCACACAGGCCCTGAGGCTGATTGGATCCACGTGAGTGGAATTGACTTTGCCTTTGAGCCCCCGATGTCAGCCAGCTGTCAGGCCCTGCCACTGATGTATCATTGAGCGCCAACAGATGGGCAAATGCCCTGGGTCACTCGCATGGAAAGAATCACCTGCAGGGGAAACACACTGGCTAACGGAACACAGAAGGCATGATGAAATCTGTCCAGGAATGCTGTGGTTGGCAGGGAAAAGCATTCTCTGGCCTTCCGGTCCTTGCCTCAAATTTGCTGGGAGCAACTAAAAGGAAATAACAATGATTTTTTGGAGACTTCTGATGGGATTTACTTGGCTTTTTACACACGGGTCACCGGAATCCCATGGAGTACAATCATTTGTAGTGCTACAGTCCTTATCTTCTTTTAGCTGTGTTACAGACATCCATAACAAACGTGTTCAAAACAAACCGCTAAGCAATTTCACAACCAACTCGTGTCCTTGATGTAAGTTCATGTCCTGGAAATGTGTAACAGCATAAAAAAAATTGTCCCAAGAAGTGTCCTCAGAACTCTTTGGCGTCTTTTAATTGAGCGTTGAAGACCTCTTCTGTCGGGTTCTCTGTACAATGCAGGCCATTGTTGGGCGGCCGCGCTTGGTGATACCTGCTCCAGTCGCCTTTACAAATGAGCCACGGTAGGATGTCCACCTTGTAGTGGAGCTCCGAGGAGAACTCGGTGCTGATGAGGTTCGGCGTTCCGGCCCCCTTGCCCCGTGTGAGAAGCCTCATTCCCTCGTCGTAGCAGCAGTGCTGCGCCGCCAGTGTGGCGCTCTCCAGGGAGAGGAGGGAGCGGATGCAGTAGCGCGCCGTGGGCTTGTACACCTCCAGCTTCTCCTTGGGGCCGCTGGCGTCCTTCCAGCGGAAGTCACGGCCCAGCTGAGCGTCAAGCACCTCGGTGGTCCCATAGGCCACTTCCGTTGGGTACGCGCAGGGGCAGTTGGGCAGCTCTGTTGACACCTTCTGCAGATATGTGACCAGGAACTCAGCCCTGCAGGTCACCCATCTCTCACAGTTGTCCACATCTGTGAAAGCAAAAATAAAAATTAAAGCACCGTAGAAACATTTTACAGGTTATCTTTTCCCACATTAGTGTCGGTGCCTGTACAGCCCCTTCAAATCTCTATAGAACTGAAATTTCCCCAGATGCAATTTCCCCAGTTTCCCACAGTGTTGACCTATCCAGTGATAGATGAAAGCCTCCCAATGTCATTATCGTTCATGGTCCGAAGATGGCACAAGCTATTTCGCTCCTGCGCATGAGACTATGTCGTTGCTCCATCTCCTCGGTGCATCATCTACTGGGCATGTTACCTTCTCTGGGTGCCAATGTATCACCATTTTCCACCTTCGGCTGTCATCTCTACTGTAAATGAGTTCTCCCCTAGCCCAATTACTTTCCTTAAAAATCTATGTCTTACAATTGGCATTTATTCTCTGATCCACGTATTTCTCTCTCGGTGTAATTTCCACCATGCTTCTGTGCGCACCTAACAGCTTTCGTTACATATTCTTTGTCAGAATCTGTCTCCAATCCATATGTGTTATTAGAGAGGCACACTGGCATGTTGCTTTTCATTATCGATTGAAATTTCCCCAAAGCACTCCAACGCGCTCTCGCTCACTTCTTCATTTCATCATTTGCATCTAGACTCCTAGAGATATAGAGATCTTTATTTGCACAAATACACACACAAACACTGGTGTATGCTCCATTTGTGTCCCTCCAACGCCCATTTCCTTCTGCTCAGTGAACCTCTTGTGCAACGATTTTCGCTTTGCCGATACGTCTATGCAGCCCCGCGCTTTGAAGCCTCGAGATGCGTAAAGGTCACGTCTCATAGCGAAGGTCGTCCTCTTAGTCAGGAGTCACCGGTGGCAAGTTGAAAGTCCGTAGAGGGGCTGACTGCACTCGCCAATGCAGCGCGCAGTGCAAGCAACGTTTTATTTACCAACGAGCTGGCCTGCGGCACACATCGGTGGCACCATAGGTATGCTGCCTGCCGCGTGTATTTGATCGCACGCTTTTATGACATCAAATCAACGGGGAAGTTCGACCTCCCGCAAGGCATCCGGTCCCTCAACTTTTGGCCAAGCCCCTTGTCAATTAGACCACGCCCCTTGTCAATTAGACCACGCCCCTTGTCAATTAGACCACGCCCCTTTGTCAATTAAACCACGCCCCTTGTCAACTAAACCACGCCCCTTTGTCAATTAAACCACGCCCCTTGTCAATTAAACCACGCCCCTTGTCAATTAAACCACGCCCCTTGTCAACTAAACCACGCCCCTTTGTCAATTAAACCACGCCCCTTGTCAACTAAACCACGCCCCTTTGTCAATTAAACCACGCCCCTTGTCAATTAGACCACACCCCTTGTCAATTAAACCACGCCCATTGTCAATTAGACCACGCCCCTTGTCAATTAGACCACGCCCATTGTCAATTAGACCACGCCCCTTGTCAACTAAACCACGCCCCCTTGTCAATTAAACCACGCCCCTTGTCAATCAGACCACGCCCCTTGTCAATTAGACCACGCCCCTTGTCAATTAGACCACGCCCCTTCCCCTTTCGGCTCCCCCTGTGCCCTTTTTTTTAGGATCTTTCCCATTTTTCTCTATGCCCCAACCCCTTTTCTCATGACCCAGCAGGGTTGGGCTTGTTTGGGTGGTGGTGGTCGGGGGGGGGGTGCATCAGTTGGCATGGTGTGCGGGGACAGGAGGTAGGGGTGGGGGGTGACCTCACAAATACCAAAATCCTTAGAGCAATAAAAATTTTGTTTGAAATCTCGGGGGAAACAATAATCATCACATACCAGATCCAAGGATGTCTGTTGAATTGCGGTTATCCTGTGCTAAGAGCTCCACATTGGATGTTGCCGGCTTAAATATATCCTCCATTCCTGCAAAAAAAGCACAAAGATTGAAATACATTTATTAAAAGCGCGTTTTATTCTCCTTGTCACACAATGGAACTGGTAGTTTTTGATTGAAGCAGTTGCAATACGATGTTCCCTCAAAACTGTCTGATATGACAAGATTTGTTCAGGCATTGCCTTACCAGCGGATAAATTGGAGACCCTTTTTCTTTTATTGTATTCTGCTTCAGCTACGGGTAATCATATACTTAAAAGATTAGAGTTTTATCCATGTTGTAGAAGGCTGCAATCATTATGCACCGCTTATAAAGCATGCTATAATTAAAGATCACGGGTATAGAATGCTCACCTTAGTCTGCGACTCATGCAGTGTGTGACTGTGTTCATGCCCATAATCTTTAAATCACTGTGTGCATTTTCATTAAGACGGCTAACGACAGACATCGTTAACACTCGTCCATTGCAGGGGCCAGGAAATAGTTATATTCTTTTATTTTATTATGTTTTATTTTTATTATTTTATTACTTCCCTTCTACGTGACTTTACCGAAAGAACCAAGAAGATGAATCCCTGCAGTCACGAAAGCTTTAAATCGAAAATTCAGGAAATAGTTGTTTAATACGATAAATATTGGTCAGAATTGCAGTAGACTCCCGCGGCCGTGAACCGTTATGAGACGCACGTGCATGGCCATGGTCAAGTCCTAAGGGAGGATCGCTACATGTGGCTTGAAGTGCTTAGCTTTAGCCTGATACATATTGTGGTTTTCTTCTGGTTAGTCTTATTTCTGGACTGAATTAGAAAAAAAAACAAGACAATAAAATGACACCAATTTCAAATATTTCTTCAAATGTTCTCTAAAAGGCCACCCTAAGTTGCTTCATTGATCGGCGGTGACACATCTCCATTCACCAGTTCCCTCATGCAGCACTGAATGAATGTTCATCTTCTTGGTTCTTTCGGTAAAGTCACGTAGAAGGGAAATAATAAAATAATAAAAATAAAACATAATAAAATAATTCTCACGACGTTTCGGCTAAAACGCAAGCAGCCGAAAAATGAATGAATGTTGCTTTCCCAGTTCAGCATTTTAGAATCTTGTCGATATTTTAGACACCAGTCATCACCATCGTTTGAGGAGGGTTGAAATGAGAGAGGTGAGTGTTGATGCAAGGACTTGTGGGGGTTGGGCATTTGTTCGAGGTGTAGGCGTCAATACCAGCGCAGCTGGGCAGGTCGCAGGTACGAGCTTCTGTGGCAGTGCAGGAGTAGCCGCAGGAGCGCGTACGCTTTTGGCTGCCACTGCCACAGGTGACGCTGCACGAAGACCAGGGACCCCACTGGCCCTCTCGTTCTCCGTCATCTGCAGACATACAGCATCTGATGTTTAAATATCCCCAAAAGATTGCATGAGCAGCCACTTACAACGACAAGGTTTAGCGTCACTCAGATGATGTGTTTCAGGCCTCGTTAGTCACCTAAACTAAAACTGTTCCCATTCATGGCATGTCCATGGACCAAGGACTACGTGGCAGCCTAGCGTTTGTTTTACATTCAGAGGATAGCCACAGAGGAAACCACTCATCTACATAGATGATTGAAATGTCGTGAAAAACTTATGACATCGATTTAACTTTGTTTCACAAAAAGGTTTGCTTGTTACATTTACGCAATAGGCCATATTTTTCTTCATATCTACATATAAATAGCTTCATGGGAGTACAATTGAAGATGTTCTACACATTTATTTGCATATACATCTTTGCATACTGATTTCAAAACATATCATTGCCATTTCTTATAATATTGTGGTTTATTTTTCAACTTCTTGGAGTAAACTTTAACAGTGCATTCCAAGGTTGACACTATGCACCAAACCTCCTCGCCGGCGAACGGATACATTCTTGTAGCGGTTCGACTCGGCACACAATTTTTTTTTCTATTCTGTGAAAGTTAACACCTCGAGTGGCAGCGGGGGGGGGGGGGCGAGTGGACCAATCACACAAAACGTACGCATGGATCTCAAAACATCCGATTGTTACGCAGAGCAATCTGGCGCGTGCATCTTGAGCTTAAGAATCAATATAAACCCACGAGCCGACGCATGTTACATTGCCGGTGCATCGAGTCCATCGTGCATCTTATAAGGGGTATTTCTCACCATACTTCGTGTCTGCGGTGGCTCCCCACGGTTTAGTGGTGAAAAGGCCTCTAAACCATCCAAAGAGTGGGTGAGAAAGTTGCTTTCCTCAGCCGAGGCAGCTTCTCTCTGCACTGGGTTAAGTGCGGCGCCTTCAGCCCTGCGAGCACCTGCGCCCGGGCGCCACCAGCCCTCGCGTCCCGGTTGCCGAGAAGCCCGTGCCACTGCTGGCACGCCGTGCCGCGAACTCGTGCCACTCCGCCAAGCGCCGCCGGCACCACCGCCGCCGCCGCCGTTGTGCTTGAGCTCCATGTCCACGTCTCCCTCCGCCTCGTCCACCACCTCGATTGTGACCTGGCCAAGAGAAGCGACGGTCGCCGGGGTCGAGAGTGAATATCGCAAAGGTTGTGAGGCACACCCCCTGCGATGGCTTTGCTCATGGCAGTGCTGGCGGTGCTATAGAGGCCCCTCGAGAGGATATTTTGGCTGGACGTCTTGAAAGACGTAGGAGTTTCGTTTATTTTGTTAATAGAAACTCTCTTTATTTTTACTTTTGGTTCTTTCGGTAAAGTCACACGTTTCGATTGCAACAGAAGCAACCGTCATCAGGTGTGAATGAATGCAAGCTCGGAGAGAGATGCATACACAGAGAGAGAGACACACAGAGAGAGACACACATGGGGGAGAGACACATCGAGAGACACACACGCAGACAGAGACACATACAGAGACAAAGAGAAACAACGCCTCTGTGACGAGGCACTTCTACATATAGAAAGGGGGGAGCAGAGAAATTAGCATGTCAATGAGAGCGGCAAGGGGAGAGAAATTGGAAGTTTTGACAACCCCAGTAAAAACATTTTTTCATTTATTTTTATTTACTACTTACGTCTCTTATACTATTCGTTGCGCACAGTTGCACCTTATTTTGCACGCGGTTGTAATTGACTTTGCTCAGTCGGTGTTCGCCGCGGAGGGCGTGACGGGTTTCTTTTTTCATTCCTAATGCTCTATGCCGCCGGTACCGTTCCCATTTCGTTGTAATGTGCACCGATGCCTACTTTATTGAGGGCGATATTGCCACGTAAAATAAAGATTGATTGAGGAGTAATCCACACTTGACCCCGCCACATGCGACCAGCTGATAGTTTAAATGTGGTGGGTGCCCTAAGCATGCAAAACACATGTTCAACGGCATACATGGGGAGTTGTAACCAGCTAATGTGACAAAAAATTGATCATTTGCACCTCGGACAATTTACAGAGCTCTTTAAGTAATTCCAATAATCCACCGGAGTAGCGTTTGTTCGATTACAGTATTGACATTGTAAATTTCTGATCTCATAGTTGTACATGTTTGTTTCTCAAGAGGTTAAACAAAGACAATACAATTTAATTGCACGTATCAAAAGTTATTGGTAACTTTGTAAACAAGAGCTGATTAAATTAATGTCATGCGAACGCCTTTGATTTTACCCAGCAACGATTCACGAAGCTTCAAGACTCTTTCAGGGGGGCTCCGCAATTGTAGCAGTTGTTTGGCCAATTACATTAATTTATTCGTTTCTAAAACAGTGCCCTTTAAATGATGTTTATTGTTCCATTAAGTAAATTCGTTTCAGGACAACACTATTTCAAATTCCACTTCAATGGTCTCTTTCGTCACACCATTCCGTTACTCTCACCATAAAGTCCCACACTTCATTGTCACATTACACATTGAGCCCAAAGCGTGTCTGCGCTTTTGGCAGCGGCACTTACCTGGATATTCGGGTTGTGTCCAGCGAGGTCCGCTCGCGACAGATCTGGGATGTTCTCCAGGTTGAGCACGAAGGTCTCCGGCTGTCACTCAGCATCTCCAGCTTCTCTTGACGCCTTCGGTTGCGTCCTCTGCCTGCCTGGCGTTGCCTGGATCGACGAGGGGGCCCTTCCCTGCCGTGCCCCCCGGACACGCTCCTGTTACCAACTGTGCCCGGCGACGTCCCGTCCAGCGATCTCGTCCGCTCCTTAAAAGGGGCAGGCACGGGCACGAGTGAGTTCAATGTGTGAACTCTGGCATTTTTTATCCTTTATATTAAGTTCGCTTGCTTGCGTGCTTGCTTGCTTGCTTACGACAGTGCAAATCTTTCGGTCGTTTTTTAACCCACTTCCCGTGATCCAATCGAGCTGACATTTTGCACACAGACTCGTTGTGCGAGACAATTAATGTTCGTGATTTTTTTTTTCCAAAATTTTACACTGTTTAGGGAATACAAATTAAATATTTAATTACCAATTGCTACATCTTGGCAGACAATCATCTGACCCATAGGTGGCAGCCATCTCAAGCCAGAGGACGAGAGGACTCTAGCCGCCACGCATATAAAGGATTTATAGTGAAAATCTTTGTTTTTACGGGTTTACTTATTTAAGCACGAGCTGTCTAGGACGTAATTGAACCAATCCACGGTTCTCTCCGATGCGTTTTTAGCTTTCACCGCGTGTCGCTCATCAAAGTATTGCTCCACGTGCTCGGGGAGCTTCTTTAGGAACGAAATTAGTTCTAAATTCAGTCCCTAAAGACGCTCCCAGCACTGGAGCAAAATAGGAACCGAACAGCTCCCGAAGAAGCTCCTAGCACGGTGGAGTGAAACGTTGAGATATCCTTCCGAACAACTTTCTGTTCAGTTCCCGAAGCTCCGAGGCAGTGGAATGTAACATCGAGCATCATGCCAAACAACACGTGGTACAGCCCAAAAAACACACAGTGAAGAGCATAACCGCGACAACCGACGCAGATGTACAGACATGGCCAGTGCAAGAGAAGCATATGTTTGTTGTTGGTGTTGTGATGAAAACGTGTGGTTTGTAATTAACAACAATTTAATTGCGGTTGGGGGATTTTTTGGGAGATTGTGATTTATTGTCATCATCATTATCACAGTTGTGAACTGTAGCCACGTGACGGCCAATTTATATGCAAGTGATTGTTGTTTGTAAGGGAGATCTTGCACATCTTTGAACACACGTGTATGTAATTTTTCATATTTGCTGTGCATTTAGGAGGCCTTATTTTTGGCGCAAAATTCAAATCGCTGTGCATTAGTACGTAGATCTTGCTGTTAATATCGTGATGGAATGTATAACTATTGCATGAACACATTAAGCACAATGTGGGTTGCAGATTGCTTTTCTAAAACTGGGCCGACAACCTATTATCGAGACATTAAATTCCAATTCAAAATAGTCAAATAAGTAATACATGCATTTATTATATATACAGTACAGTACTGTATATATATAACAGTACAGTACTGTATATATATAAAATGTCAATCCACTGCTGTAGATGAAGGCCTTCCGGCCATGAAGATTGTTTGACCATACTTCACCACACTGGTCAGTGCGGGCTGGTGGGCGGAACGGTCACCGCCACTGATGTTAGCCGTGGCTGGGGAATCGAACTCAGATTTACGGCTCCATAGCGCAGTGTGCTAACCACTGCGTCACCGCTCCACAATATAAACTCTGACAATCACCGCAATGCAAATAACAAATCAGATGATGCTTCACGTACTGCAATTAACCTATTGGACAAGCCACTTCGTTGAGATATTATTTGTGGTTAGGTCGCTGCTGAAAAATAACACTGGTCAACACACTTTTTCTGGCATAAGGTATTCCAAATCTGGTATCAGTTTGTGTCTATCACATCAGGTTTTTGAGATATCAAATATTGCATTTTCAACAAAAACTGCAGAAGAAAAATATTAAATAAATGTGGATATCTACATAAAATGATATTATAAACACACTATCCTAAAAATACAGCATCATATTTTAACACTAAAGCAGTCACTGACTCGCAACAACTTGCAATCATAAGTGACAGAGTTAATTTCGGGTAAAATCAATGAAAATGGGGTATGCCGATAGCATACAAATGATGTGATAGAGCAAATCTGAGATCAGATTTGGAATCAGCACCCTGAAATTAGTCTAAAACAGCTGCAAAAGTCCAGGCCAGAAAAACATGTTTTTTTTGACCAGTGTAATCAAATAGGTCAGTGGCCTTTACCTGATTAAATGAGAATCGTTTATTTTTGAGTGATTTGCTTACCTTGACTATACTTCGCACTTCTATCGTGTTTTTGTAACTTTCTGATCCGCCGCTACAGGACGTCTTTGAAAAATATCTTCATAGCTCATCGGATTCCTCAGTATACATAACGATTCTGATTCAATGGGAACAAATACCCTAACAGCCCAGAGTATTTGTGAAGTGTGTGCTGGGGCCTGGGATGAAGAGAGTCAATGTGTGAATTCCCCATCTTGCCGAGATACGCAGTGATGTAACGTCCCGCATGGCCCGACGTGGAGCCACGCGTGTGTCACGTGAAGTGCATGCGGTGTGAATGTTTTCCATGCATGAGCGGTATTTCAAGCCCTAAGCATTGCCGTCTATAATTACACGTGAATACTCACCACGACACTAACACATTCATTCACCTCTTAACACGGAACACCTCAACATATTTATAAACACGAAAACACGTTATTGGCATTCGTAATAGAAACGTGCTTACAATGAACTTAAATAATACGCAGATCGACTAGAATGGGATTTCAACTCATTACAAATGACAGTACTTTTGAACTGGATCCTTCATAAGTATCGCGGTATCTCGTCTGTCTATTAACTCTTTGAATGCGCAAACTCTTTACAGCAACCTATAAGGTAACAGCATGCGCATAACCCCATAAACTATCACACTTTTGAGTTCCACATTGGAAGTCGGTCTCAAACCCACAATATTAACACATTTTACACGGCAATATATACAGAACAGCCACAGTGGCAGTAGCGAAGTAGGAACGCACGTTTTAAGTCGACCTACCTGCAGGTCGCCCCTGCGTGTTGCCGGCTGATCGCCGCCGTGTCGCACGGCCGATGTGCCCAGCAACGTCCCAACGTGTAGGCTCAGCATGGCCAGCGCCAAGAGCGACATTACATCGGTCGCGGGCTTTCCTCCATAGCTCTCGTCGACGTCTGCCTGCTCCTTCTCTCTCCTTGTCTGCAGAGTCCCGGTTTAAATCCACAGGCTCAGTGCCGTGCCGTTGTCGAGTAACGTTGGGTCAGTTGCGGAGATGGAAATTCCTCGTTGATGCGTTCGCCTCTTCAGAAGTTTCTGAGCGTTCTGTTCTGGGAGTAAGCTGCGTTTTTCAGCACCGCACTGCAACACAAAGCGGGAATTAGTCACACGCTATCGGTTATTACAGCACACATCACAGCCCGAACAAAAAAGCACCCCCATATGCCGAGCTGTGTGGCATCCAAGTGGAGCAGTTGTTCACTGCAGGGACGAATGCACGACTTACTTGTGGTGCTGCGGCGACAATGATCCGTAAAATGTGGAATCAAGTTGCTGCTATTAAGAAAAAAAAAACATCAAGGGCTCTTGTCCGGCTATGGTGGTGTAAACTAGAGTGTGGAATTGTAAATCTTAAAAGCCGTGACATGTGACATTTTTGTTATATTATTATTTGTACGCATATATATTGTTTTCTCTCTCCCAACTCTGCCGCTGTCGTGAGCCGCTCACGCCTCCGGATTGATGGGGGTTGACTGTTATCTCTCGCTCTGGAGGACTGGCGGATTAGATGTGAGTAACTGGCTTTATAAACCTCCCGGCTACTGCTCAGAAAGATGATGCTGATAGCCGCAGATGTGATTTGCCTAAGCTATACAGCCGCTCCGTGTGTTTCCTGTTACACAAGAAAAATAATAATGATGATGATGATGTACCTCCCAATGTATGACCTTTTCGATGCCAATTTTGCAAAATGAAACACAAAACCGATTCCGTTACCCCCCTCCCCTCCTTATAGGCAGCGGCCGTTTTATTAAGATCAAAAGGCGCTTTCAGATAAACGGAACTTCTCAATTGAGCAAACAGGCGCCTTTCAAAGCCTCAAACCGCTGAGCCGGAATGGAATTGTTAAAGGCACCCCCCCCCCAAAAAAAACTCCAGCCTCCAGGGAAAAATGCTCATCGATGTCAAAAACCTTTAGAATTTTCTTCTTCTTAATTAGCTACAGTTCCTTTGCCGCCCGGCCGCGCGTTCCTAATCAGCAACCTCGACCGATGTTGGACATCGTCATCACCGTATGAAACTGCCAGGGCAACCCGCTTTGATCCGAAGAGGCATGACGCGCGGTTGTGGAGCAGCGAAGCAGTGGCTGATTAAAGCGCAAAGCAGCGGGGGCTGATCAAAGAACCGCGTCTAATGCTCGCCCCTGTTTGCTCCGGCTGCGTGCCGGCACTTCAAAGCGCTAGACCGACGCACTGTTGACAAAATAAATCTGCTAATTTAAGGAAAGGGCGACCCCCCCGTTCGGACATGAAAAGCAAGGGGGCTTGCCAGTGCACGGTATAATACACAAATGCCCTCTCTCTCTCGCGCGCGCGCACACACACACACACACGCGCACGCGCG